GTTCGTCACACGCCAAATAAAGCCAGTCTCTCCGAACTGTCAGCCGAACTGATAAGCGTAAAAACCCTTTGCGTTTCTCTTGCCAAACTTCATCGTTGGCTCGTTATAGCCTCTTTTGATAACAGCAATGAATCCGCTTCGTTACCATCTTTTGTCCTCATTAGATCCGTGTGATTAAATAGAATCCCTCCTACCCTTATCTTTTCCTCGTTTTTAAATTTTTATCACCGAACGCCAAATGAAGCAGGCCATTTTATGAATACATAAAAGCGTCACGTGTGTTAATTGTTTTCAGGTAAAAGACCAACCTCTTGGATAAAACAAAGTGAGATTAATCCCGTGATGGATCGATCACCCACTCCAAAATGGTCGCAATAGTTTTCCGTGAATTCGAACATAAGCCTCCTCTTCCTGGAGATCCATTCCTGTCCCTTCTTTTATGAAATAGCTGTTCTTTAGCTGTACTTGCTAATTATTTCTTGTTAAAGTTTGCACAAGAGGGAAGCACTTGAATAAAGCATCCTGTCGTCTTTGATGAGAAGGCAATAACCTTGATTCTGATCCAAAAACTCTTCGACTGAAACTCTTACTTCAAAGTGATGATCTGGGAAATATTTTTATTATTTTCGCCAAACCCGCAACAAGAACAAAAAACCAAACCGAAAAAAGAAAAAAAATAAATAAACAGAAAAAGCTTAATATTCATTAAAAGAAAAGCGATGCTTTCGACAGCTGACTCTATTTTAGATTTATGGCCTATTTTAAATTTTCTGCAAGAAACATTTGGTTTTAAATCATTTAAAACGACTCTCATTTTACTAACTTAAACTAATGCAGCGCGATTCCTATTATAGGCCTAAAACACAGTTGGGCCAAATATCTAATAGAGATATAATTTCATCCTCGTTAAGGTTTGTTTTCACTTTGTTTGTTTGATATTCTTGTATTTTTCAATAAACGTAAAATAAATTAAATTGAAATATTTTGCACAAAAATTGAAGGTAGATAAAAAAAAGAAGGTAAAATTAGCTCTAACGCTGGAAAACGTATTTTAAGGATGAAGCTTAAGGCAGATGGCACCGGAAAATAATTAGCATCTGAAGGAAAGAAGAAAAACAATATTCAAAAATTTGGTTCAGTTATTGTAATCACCACTCGGTGCGCCGAAAAGAGCATCAAAGTGCATTTTGTGTTGAGAAAATTGATATTGAGTCGTGTTGGCCTAAGAGATTTTTTTGTTTTTGTATTCGTGCATTCACTTCTACAGAGCCAGTATGGCTATTATCAATGAAATAAAGAGCTAAGTTAGCGCCTTGGCTCAAGGTTTAGAAGTTAATGACACCCATCAAATGTAAACTTGCCGACAATAACATGGTTATTCAACACCGACAGCAACAACCAAGAAAACCCGGCTACAAGACGAAGACCAGGACGGTAACAATACTATTTATCGTCGTGACTCGAATTTCTCAAATAACGGCAATTCCTCAATTCGTTCATCATGTCAGAGAGTGATTTCCCTTGGTTTGTCTCTTGTCTAGATTCTAATTCTGAGAGCCCTGTTGCAGAAACTTTTCTGCTGCCTCTGTCAACCAAAACCCGTGTTGCCAAGGCAGCTTGACTCACGCGTCGTAAATTTGTGATACCATTAACTGAAATATTTCCAGAGCTGGATCCATTCTCAGATTTGCTTCTTGTTCTTAATCCCAGGGTGTTTGTGGTCGTTTCCTCCGCTCCTGCTACTTGTCTTAAATAGCTTTCTGTCGGTCTCTGCAGCTCCTCTAATCTAACCTTCGTCAGAATTTTTTTGTCGGGTGATATACCAGTTTTTGGGTTTTCAGGGCTTGCTTTGGTAGTTGCACTGCGGAATCTTTGTGCCGCAATCGCCACAAGCGCCAAGGGACGAAAGCTTCTTAATCCATCTATGTTTTCTCCAGTTTCGCTTTTTGTTGAATTCTGTTCCTTAAAACTCTCTTCATATCGCGATATTCTCGAATTCCGGTTTATCGCTCTTCCGGGGGGTGCTTGCACAGTCGAAATCTTTCTCCTTGAAGTCATGCTTTTGTCGCTCCAGGCGTTTCCATGGTGATGAAGCCCTCCCCTTGCACCTGCTGCTGTTGTTGTCGCGATTGTTAACTCATGCAAATCTAGTTTTCTTTGATCTCTTGATAAGCTTCCTTTTCTTTGAAAAGTGTTGCTGCTTTCTCTACTGGTTTCTACTTCAACTTCTTTCTCCAAGTAAATATTGCTTATTCCTCGTGACAAATCCGCTTCCTCAAGCTCTAGAGTTGAAAATTCCCCAGAAATATGACCTCCGCTTACATTTAGTCCGGCTTTTTGAAATTGTCCATTTGCAATTGATGTTCCAGGTGCTACTCTGGGAATATTTTTATTTTCTTCTTTTCCCTGTGACTTAATATTGATGTCAGTATCATTGGGGTGACTTTGAAATCTGGTCCAATTTCCATTTGAAATTTGCCTTCGATTCTCGAGTACTTTTTTGGGAACGCTTGGCAAATTATCTTGTCGATATTTGCTTATGTTTTCCGATGTTGTCTCATTAACCATTCTGGATGGTGCGTCGATACATAAAGATAAACCAGTCGGCAAATTTTTCTTCGTCATTGAATATTCCGCTTCAGATTTCGTGCAAGATAAATGGTAGTTGAGAGAGCCAGCTGACTTTCCACTCGGTATCTTGGCGTTCAAAAGGCTGCCACTGGATCTACTTTGACTTAATGTATTGCTGTTATCGATACGCGAATTTGAATTTACAGAATAATGGTGAGGATCTCCGGAAGAAGCCGCTAAATCAATATCAAAGGGAATTAGTTTTCTCCTCGGAACACTGACAGCTTGGCGCTCTCCATAGTCGGTTTTCCGACCTGAAAAGTCTTCTGGGTCACTCACTTTCCTACCACTGTTTATATCACTAAAAAGCGAGGCTCTACTGCTTTTAGATTTTGTATCGCTTGGCGCAGATACTTTCCGGACTCGGCCGTGAATTTCTGGTAGATATGAACTTTCTGCACTTACAGAATCATAGCTGGAAAAGAGGTTGGTACGCGAGGATCGTCTCTGCCAATGTTCCATAACTGCGGCTTTTTCGTTTTCACTTCTGACATTTTGGGCCAAAAAATCCCTTGCTAATGTATTCTGTCTGCTTGAGATCTTTTTGAGGCTTTTGTCTTGCTCTCTTTGAAACTGGTCCAATTTTTTCCGAAGTATGGACTGCTCGTGGAAGTAAGCTACAGAAATCTTTTCTGTTTGCGCAAAATCAGTATTTTTCCTCTTATCCATAGTACTTGGCTTTGAATATTGTTGACAAAGTTTTACTGCAACGCAATCCAAGTCAAATTCATGAAGAGTGTTTGTTTTAAACGGAAACTAGAATGGATTAGCCTTCAGAGCGGATTTTTCCTCGATGCGAGTTAATGAAAAACTGTCTCCCCATGATACTTTTCCAAGGTGAGTCGATTCGAAGAAAATTGCCTCGTATTTACCCCAATTGCTCAGACGCAAGGACAAAAACACCACAAAGGGACTTACCAGTCAGTATATCTGTAAAAATACCATGTGAAATAGGGTCAATTTAATGTTTACTATTCATGAATAATTTACATGAAATCTGTGTGATGTCTTTATCAATGTAATTCTTGGCACTTAGATCTTAGTCTAAATTAAAATTTAAAAAGAAATTTTTTCCCTTATAATTCATATTCGTGTGCTTTTCACCATTTAGCCCCGTGAGTAATGGGTCAAAACATTGTTAAGTGTTGATTTTCCAGCTAAAGGTTTTTGTATCAAAAGAAACTACCGGCAAAGGTCTTAATAACTTGATCTCACTTAATACCTTGAACTGACAAAAATTTGATTATGTAAAAAAAATAATAATAATAATTCAACGACTTCCATGACTTGTCACCCGCAAACACGATATTTAGTATGGCGCAAATAAGACACTATTAGCATTTGTTTTGTCAGTACTTTATCATTAACATCAGGGAAAACAATAATTTTAATCGGGCACAAGCCGATAAAGAAGTCAGGCAAATTGTAGGTGCGGACCTTTGTAAACTTGCTTTCCGGGCACATTATTTTCCTAACCGAAAACAAAACAACTAAACCAACAAGAAGACAAATAAACACACAAGTGTTAACATTCTTTCAAAAACACAGATAAATATGAAATTCCACCCCGATTCTCTAAGAGCAAAACAAGAATTTAAACTTCAAGCCTGCGATGTAGAGCATAAACTAACGATTGGTTCCACTAAAAATGGGCGAGACAATAGAAGTCTGCTTCATATTGTTCACTTAAACTTTTATCTTTTCATGAATTGTCTTTAAAGTAACATAAAGATAATGTACACAAGATAAGTGCAGTAATTGTTTTCTTTTTTTTTGTGGTTCACTCGACGGAAAAATCCATTTGCCATATATTTCGTTTTGTAATAGTAAACAGGAAATACGATAAAAGATTACTTTTTCGAAAATAAATAATAAATTAGAACTTTTCAGTATGTTATCGAGTGTGATGTAATCATTGCTCCAAAGGCTTAAAAAAAAAATTAAGGAATTATTCAAATTTACTTGCTTCGGTCAACAGCCGTTCATTTGAAATATTTGAATGCGTTTGTCATTATCATATTTGCTACACAATTACACCAGTTTCACCTTCATAATATAGATGTAGCTTTTGCTTAAAATTCGATAGGATATCATTGAGGTTCTTTTGTTTCATTCGCCGTTTGAAATTTCTAGAAGATTAGTGTGCGCCATGCCTCCTTTTTAGACTGGAAGTTTTCTGTTTTATTGATTTCTTTAAATAAGTTAAGCTTGCTTCCAAATTTGTGGATCATCATCTAAAAAAATCAAATCAAAATAACGACGATTGAGAGTGATTCTTTTGTGTCCACAATACGAAATGAAATGGTTTCCCATTTCATGAGTCAGCCATGGCAACTTCTAACTGCATGTGTCACATTCGGTTGTAATATCTTGATTCCCTCGATTTTTAAGTTGTACCTTCCGCTAAATTCGGTTACTTTCTTGGTTTTCCTTGGAAAATCTTAAGTATCGACAACATTTTAAATCATCGATGCCCTTTTCATTGCTCTCTGGAGTAGCATCGTTCACTTCCAATTCACCGTTTTGAGATTTTTGGGAATACTTCGAGGTACTGCTTGATGATTTTTTTTCGTAAACATTTTTAAACCAGGAGAAGGAAGAACCTTCATCACTTGCTTCTGTCTTAGTAAGAATTTTCTTGCCGGGAAAATTGAGCAGCCTTTTCGGATCTTTCGAGAAGCTGTGTGATGGGAATGCCTGAGTATTAGATGTCGACTTGGGTCGATGAACATAACCTCCTGAATCAGCTGGGGATTCCAGTGGGGTTGTTTTCGGGCTCTTTTCTACGAAACGCGGTGAAATACGTCTTCTTTCCGAGACCTCATCTACGTTTACACCTCGAGTTGAAGTAGAAATATTAATTTTCTTTCGCATCATCTCTTGCGTGGTGATCAAAAGCGGCTGCAGCATTGTAATTGGAGCTGTTTTAGACCTTTCCAGTTTTTTATGTTCTGTAAGCTGCCACTTGGTTATTTGAGCACTGTGTGGCGAGATAGTGGACTTTATTCTCGGTTTAAACTCTTCACGATTGCTTGATGCTCTTTCAGCCGAGTTTCCAATGCTCTGAACAACATGATGCTCATGTTTTAGGGTGGGGAAGGAGCATGTGTTTGTACCAGTGTTTGTTGTCGATCTATCCCCTAGATCTGGAAAACTTTGCGAACGTCCAAGTTTTAATTTTTGTTCGTTAGTAATAGGAATTTTAGTAGAGTTACCATATTCACTTCCCTCTACGCTCTGCAAAGAATGGTTTCCATATAATGGATCTGTCGCTAGTTCTTTCATAGATTCTCTGATTTCAACAAGTTTGCTAGAAACCTGGGCGATCTCCTTTTTATGAACCTTGCGATAGGCGTTTATCTTCCGGCGAAGAATTTTATCTTCATGCTCTTTTAGGGTAGAAATTCGCTTGGTGGCTGATGGCCCATACGCATCTCGTTCGACAGACTCTTTGGAATCGTGCGAAGACATGATAGAGAATGCTTCTTTTCAGTGAAATTCAGACTGAATAACAATCATTGTGGCATTGCCTGTTTGAAACCAAATACCGATCGAAAATGTCAAAACCTGTTAAATTTTGAATTAATTGTTGGCAATTCGTGACTCTTTCCTTAAGCCTAGCACATTTAATCGTGGCCTTTTTTTATTACCTTCACTATCTCGCAAAATTTGACAACGATAATCCCCCTTTTAGTGTTATATACAAAAAGCTTTTCCTTTATTTCTTTCCTTTCCGAAGGTGAACGTCATTAACTCAGCTTGAAGTTTAATCAATTTCAGCATTTTTGACAGGCAAATTTGCAGCTTACTCGTTTGTTTTGGGGTCGTTGCCGGGAGATTTGAAGGGCTTGTTCAACATTTTTTTACCTCCTAGTGGGCTTCAGGCAATTTTGCCGAGGGCCACCTGCTAAAAATGACTGACTGTTTGTCAATTTCGTTGAGTTGTTAATATCTTCATTTTATTCCGTTCCGAATTTCTTCTGCTCTCAGATTCCATGTTGCTTAAAAGAGAGAAGTATGTCAGTTTTCACATCGTATACTTTACATCTTTGCTGATCTTTTACAATAAAATTAATGCGCCTATGACAATAAATCATTCCTATAAAAAAAATATAAGCATTTCCTGAAGCGTTTGTGCAAGAAAAACATTGAATTGATCTTTCTGAATATTTACATATTTCATATTAATTAAGTATCATGTACCAGCTATTTCATATGCAATGGAAGATGATAGCAGAAAAACTTCCTTTAAACATAACTAATCATTTCTAAAAGTGAATGATGGGCTACTCAAAGTACTTTGAAATAGTGAATGGTTTCGTCAATTGCATTGAATCTCTACAAACATATCATGAATTAATTGGTGTGAATTATCTCTACTATTAGTGAAAATATTTCATAACAGACTCTTTCATGTCCTAGTTTCTATCCTCTTTCCATTCTGTACTCTTTTGTTTTTATTTGGTACCGCGGAAATTTATCACATGCTTATTGCATTGGCAGAGACCTCAGAAATGAGCACGTGAGGATGTTGACGTCACCACATCACGCGCTATTAAAGATCGCACTTTGGCCGGCTGAATTAGGGTTTAGTTCAAAAGTCGTTTTCGTTATACAAAATCTCCTTGTGGTAAATCTTCGATTTCCGCTACGTGTTTCTTCAGAAGAGAGCATCAAGCCATAGCGCTTGCCAAGTTAAAACGCTAAAATCTCAGAGTTTGCTCGAAAGGTTCCAGCAATTGTTATGAAAAGTTATGTCTGATCGTCCTAGGATGTTAAGGTCATCGAAGTCAGTCTTACACGTGAGCAGCACTGACGCTTCACTCAAGGAATCAAGGTTCTATTGCGCATACAAAGGACTATGTACTCTTGGAACCGGCAGAGAAGGTATCTTACCTCATGTTTACACGAATCATACACACGTTTCTGTTATGGGAAAGACCTCTGCACTTATTGCTACTTCCTTCTTTTTCTTTGAGAAAAGTAATACTCATGCCTTGCATCAATACAGCCAAATCATTTGTCTGTAAACTTCTTGATCAGTTTATTTTCTTGGCTTTGGTTTGCGATCAATCAGGGTTAAAGACTATACAGCCAAAGAGACTTTCTTAGGAACAATTCTATTAAATGGATTGGAATTTTAAATCTATCAAGATCGCGTTTTCAGTCTTTTTATTTACTTGCTATTTGGATCGTGGCGGGCGTCCCCAAGGATGATCAGAAAGGACTTTGTACCATGTTTTATAAATAGCCTTCTTCTGGCTTTAAAAGTTATAAAGTGTGCTCACATTTTTTTTAACTTGTAAAGTTTGCTTTTTTTTTTTATTGAGACATTTACTTTACCTCTAGACTGTTGCCGTGTGAAAACTGGTAGTTAGATGTACAAAAGAAAATTCAAGTGGGAATTGAGGTTTTTGGGCACACTCTTTCATGGAAGACAACGGAAGTATGAAACTGTGAGTAAATTCACCTCTACTTCAGATTTTCAAGTTCACAATGACTCCAGCGACGAATAAGGCACTCAACTCTTACGCGTAATAAGCACAGGCAGAAATATTGTCTACAGAGTGTACAATCTCGAAAGTCGGCTGTTTTCACAACAACTATCAACATATAAATTCCACGTAAATTATGCTTTTTTTTTAGAAAGGAAACCAGAAAAATTTATCAGCGAAAATAACATGGTCAAAGTCCAAATGGTGGAACCATTGTGTGACGCATTCTCTATTTTCTGTTTATGTTTTGGTTCATTTGCTAATCAATTACGACAGGAACTTCTTGCTTTGAATTCTATCACAGTTGAAAGGAGAATTTTTTTTTGGACTGAGTTAAGAATTTCGAAATTATATCTACCACTGCGTTGTGTCTTGGATTACGTTTGACCTTTCGGTAGTTTTACGAGTTGTAATTTGGAGAAGCTCTGTTTTCTCCAAGGTTGCATTGTATTAGTAACCATTCTGGGGCGTGCAGTCATGGTAACGTGATATCGAATATCCATGTAGATAACCCGAATAGTCGAATACTTGTATTACAAAAATGGCTCAGAAAACTACACGGATAACGACTCCAACAGCAACAAAAACAATAAGCTTCGGAAATCTTCGAATTCGCAGCCAACAGCAAGCTTCGAAAATGTACGCCACAGTACAAACAACCACTCCCTTTTAGTGTTTGTGATAATAAAGAAAGTTCGGCGATCGGTTTGTTACTTTGGGCCCTTGGAAAAGAACATGACAGGTCCTCTTCAGCGAAGCTATATCGCACACCATATATGCTTTATATAGAATTTAACACTTAAATTGACCGTTGAACATCTAAACAAAAGGTGCATGTGATTGGTTTGTGCTGTGCGAACTCTACAAATGAATACGCTTTATTTTCTGAGCTACATAATTGCTATCTACAAAGGTGTGGACATAGACATACCAAGAAAAGATTTCACTCATATAAGCTATTGATTTCATCAATAAAGGCAGAATTCTTTGAGACAGGAGGCTTTCAGCTCCTGAAACAATTTTCACCCATGCCAATATCGGATCGTCTGGTCTGGACGCCGCTAATTTCATTAAAATAGGGCTTACTTTTGTATAAGTTTTGTTTCGGCTTACACTTGAAGTCTCGGTCGGCGTTTTAAAGTAAATTAATACATGTACTACATTTGAGGCAAATTTTTCCTCCTGTCCTTTGGCAAAAACGATATGGTCGTGTCCATGGATATTTTCTTGCGTAGAAGACTTGACGTGGTTTCTTTGTAAGATGTAGCCTGCCTTTCCAGCCTCCGTTTTCGAGGGCTTTCACAAGAAGGAGGACTTTTCATAAAAACCATAACTTCGTTTGTACTGTGTGAGCCTTTCAGTTGTCTTTCCGGTGGCAAGCGTTTAATAAATAATTTGTCTTCAGTTTCACGTTGCGTTAACAACCTGTGATTAACAGTGTTCTTGGTTGAATTCCTTACATTTGATGACAGCGAGTTTGGTTTTTCACAGTTTATATCAAGTTCTGAACGATTGTCATTATCCTGTGAAACGTCGTAAAGAGCTGCCTCTTCCAATGGTGAGGCTCTGCGAGAAGAGGGCATGCTAGGCATCCGAGCCCTTTGCGACATGCTTGATTTAAAATGTTCAAAGTTAACTGCATTAGAGCCATTTTCTGCTGGAATGACTGATCTACTCAGTGGTTCAAGAAAACCAGTACTAACTGCATGTACTCTGTCGTTCTTCATCGGAGGTGGAACAATATGATTTTTATGAGTTGGTTGGTTCACAGTCTTACATTCTGAGGGAATTTTTCCAGCCGCTATTGTACCTACATCCATTGATCTCCTCCTACTAAACAGCGTTGGCTTGTAACCAGCAATTGTCCTGAGGTGGTTTAGTGCATCTGATTGCATTTCACCGACGCTGTAACTGCGTCTACGCTCACAGACCCTACCAGAAAAGGAACCCTTTCTTTCTCTCTGTTGGCGTGATAAATCTGTGAACGAAAAACTGTTCTTTACTCTTTCCATTTGATTCTCGTTGGTGGAGCCACTTAGCGGGTTCAAAAATATCTTTTCATTGCTATGCAATCTCGCATCTTCGCGTTGAAAGTTATTTGTGTGCAGAGCTGCCTGGCTCTTTCCAGTTACGTCAAGCGGACGATCTTTGGAAGATATTTTCTGCCGTTTCAGTATATCATCTGCAGAGATTGCTGTGACGCATTTTAGCTCTTGCATAAACCTTTGCAACTCCCAGATATCGCCCTCGATGCTTTTCATCTGCTTTAGCTTTTCTTTCTCAAATCGGCGCAGCGTGTGCCGCAAATCATTATTCTGTCGGATATACGACATGGCAAGGCTTGGCATGTCGGAAGGCATTTCGCTTTTCTTGATTTGACTTCTCGTAGATGTTCGCCCAAGTTCGAATTCCATATTAGCCCGGCCTAAACGACAAACCTTGACCAGAAGTTACATGTACAATAACGTTCTGATTGTATTTCGTTTGCAAACGTCTAATGTTCTGCTTATAAAGCTGGCGATTAATATTACAAGTAAGACCCTCCTCCAGGTGGGGTTCTTTTTGTTAACGTTGAATACTTGAATCGAGGCCTTTGTTGAGGATTTCAATTTGGCGTCTACCAGTTCATTACAACAATAATAACCCAAAAAGTTGATATTGGCCTACGTGCTAAAAACAGAAACGTACAAGAAAGGGCTTTTATCTAAGAGTATTATTTTCTTGAGATAATTAGAATATTTGATGGGATTAGATCGTTGCTTTGTACTGTGAGTGAACTGTAAGTCATTATAAAGATAAAGGTTCTACCTTCAATTTAATTTTTTCAAAGAGTGGTCTATTGTTCTCGCTTGAGGGAACATAATGATCAGAGTAGTTTAAAGAAACGAGCCGAAAACTCTCTTTGCATAGACACATACAAATAACCGATTTAATGCTGTTATTTCTTTGGCAAGTTTAAACCTATTACGATGTTAAATATCTTTCAGAGAAGATTTCAGAGAAATGTCTCTTAGGGTTTTTATTTAACTTTTAGAAAACAAATAATCAGTAATTGAAAGAAAACCTTTCAAAAAAAGGTTCAGGGTTGAGGGCTACAGTCGGGGTCGACTATCATCAAAGAGGCACCAAAGAGGAAAGGACAACACGAAAAGTAACGAGGCTAGCTAGGGATTGAAATTGTAAATGACTACAAAACATCATGGAAATATACAATGATAACAATGAAGCAAGTTTCAATCGAGTGTTGAAAGTAATTCAGGATTGAATTGATTTTGTTTTAGTTAGCTCTCTGATTGGTCCAGAAACTCGCGCCACTCTATCAACCATGCCAGTCTGATGCAAAATTAACACCAATCACGACTTGTTCCCGCTCTTCAGACGGTTTTCTTGTTTTTACTTCGAGTTCTCATTGGGTTTTCAGGGTATTTTTCGTTCTGCTGGCAAGCCTTTGTGATAACTTTGGTTTTCGGTTTTATGACTCTTATTCGAAAGGCGCTCTGATAGACCAAGAGAGAACAAGGACAAAGAATGCTGAAGATTTAAACGGATTGCAAATTACGAAATTGAAAATAAAGCTATGATTTTAAAAGGCGCACATATACCGTGACAAAGCAATTTTGGCCCCTACTTAATATGTTTGACAACAAATAATTTGTTTGTATAATAATAGTATGCCTAAACTTTTTAATTTGCTCTATTGATTCGATGCGACAGTTTAAAGCTCTTATCTAAACTGAATGTCAGTATTCCAAGAATAATGTTATCTTGTGGGCGGAAATTATAACATCTTAATTACCCCTAGTTCCATAAACAACCACACAGAGTTACTTAGAATGCATACTGAGCCATCTTTGCTAATTGTACGAATCGCAATGTCTGGAACCATTTATTATTTTTTTTCTGTTCTTCTCTTGTCACAAGTTAGAATTTTTTCCTTGATTACTAACCATTCAATAGTTTCTTAATCCCAGCGGAAGTTGCTTTTTGTTTTAATGAACGTAACAATTTCTTGCATCCGCCCGATGGCCATAATACCAATTTCAAAAGTGTATAAACTTGGTCAAATTATGCGAACTTAGTTATCTACCTGCAATTAGCGTGAGTAATGAGTCAGTTCCAGACATGAAGAAGTAAGATGTGTCAGGAACTGTTCATGTCACAACTGTAATCAAAACTCGATGGAGCGTGGTGATAGTAAAAATGTCCGAAAAAGCTTTTAAAGCAGAGAGAAAACTTGCGATATAAGTCTTAACTACCTGTTGAAAAAGTTCTCATTCGGCGAGAGCGTTCGGGTCAAGCCTCCCGAAGAGTTGGTTCGATTACGGCTTTCCGAAGATAAAACTAGCTACAAGTCACATCTACGTGTTTCCAACTTTTTCGGCAGGAAGCGGAAAATTTTATTACACCCCCGAGGAGTTTTTATATGCTAATTTCTTTCATTTCTAACAATAACGTTTGCTCAGCTTATTACGCAAAATTGTGTATAGTTATCCTCTGCTTGCTTAACTCAGTAAAATTAATGACATTTCTGTCAGATTTATTTAGACAAACACGAAATTGTAGGTGACACTTTATCGACTCTTTCACGTGGTAACGTGACGCAAAACGCAACATGCAGATAAATAGGGCGATAAATACCATTTAATTGATGCAAGTCTCTTCAAATGATTTGAATCAAAGCGCATCCAACGTGTAATCAATTGTTTGACTTAACTGAAATAGTAAAAGGAAATAGGGTTTCTCATTCATCATGTCGCAGAACCGAAGGACGACAAAGAAAATCGAGTTCAACAAGCGGGTTCGTGACATTGTATCGCGTGATAGCAACCGGCTTAGGAAAACGTTTGAAAAGTTTGACAAAGAGTATGCTAGTCGCTTGGCTGAGATCCAGAACATGCAAGAGAAAGTTCGCCACTCTATGAGAAATTTGGCACAAGAAAGGATGCAAATACGCCCTAATTCTGATATAGCTAATTTCCATCGTAGTGCAAGGAGAGAAGACGAAACAGAAGGAGCAAAATCAGTGCATGACGACCGCCGTAAAGGAAGTAAAATGATGTTCGACAACAAATTGCAACAAAGCGTGGAGGAACGGATGAAGAGCAATTCCAAAGCGTCATTGCCAGGGATCCAGAATACTCGTTCCGAACATCTAGAAGTTCCAAATCGTTCACCAACCAGAACCCGGCGTTACTCGTTACCACATCCTCCAACGTTTCTACCTGGAAGCCCGAAAGAGAGCCGAGCGTTTCCGATCCATGCTTCGCTGGCGAGGTCAGGTATTTCATCGTCTTTGCCAAGAGAGGCTTTTGTGAAAAATATTTCTCCTCAAGATGCTTTGCGAAGAAAACAACTTCAAAGTTCAGAAATCGCATGGCAACGAAGGACCGACAGACTTTCAGTTCATGATCTGCCAACTTCTTCGTCAAGCTCCGATTCCCTGAATAGTGCCAAAGCAAAGCTAAGTCCTCAGCTTAGTCGTAAAGTTCATAAAGCCGACATTATTCACAATGAGAAGGACATCAATAGTAAGCCTGACGAAGACAAGAAATCAGAGCATGCAAAATTTGCTGAAGATTCAAGTGGAAGCGATACCCTTATGAAAGATATTGAAAGAGAGCCAAAGAGTGTTATCGATCACAATAATACGAGGCCTAAAGTTCTTCTTACTAGAACACGAAGTTCGTCTCTTCCCTGTGACCCAAGTCAGTTGGAAGACATAAAACCCAAAGAAAGCCTAAACTCTGGCGTATCCGGATTTATCAGGTCAAAGGATCATGTCGCTAGTGGCAAACGAGTGTCTTCACTGGCAGTGCCAGTTGCTACTGACCAGAACGAAAACGAATCAGTGTCAAAACCATTTGAAGAGCTTCGTCTCTGTAGATACTTAAGAAGTAGTGACGTAGAGGACTAACTTTGCAGGGCTAGGCTGATGTTTAGAGTGATGCTGATATCAGACGAAATTGAGAAGGTCACATTGAATATTTACTTTCTATCTAACAATACATGTGCTCTCCATTAGCTTCCCTTAAGTCATTCCTGGTATTCGGTATGCTTTAATGGGTTACGATTATTTGTTTTTCATATAGTGATTTTCAATAGACTCGTCTTGATTGAGTTTAACACTTTTTTGTGTGTACAAATGTGGGTAACCTCGACATCTAAATAAACGAACTTAACTGCGTTGTATTTTTAAAGTTTTAAATAACATTAAATTGGCCCTAAGTGAGGTTCAGTATCAAATATGTCTTATTTCATACCAGTGTTTACACTAGAAGACGTCGAAAAGTCGATTACTCGATGCTATTCACTGATCCTAGACAGAAGGTTGCTTTGAGTGAATGATCAGGTGATCATTCCATCAACTTAGCAACATTTTTTCCCATTTAAAATCAGTTCAATTCTTTTTCATAGGGAAAGCAAAGGAAGTCACTTTTGAAATGCTACCTGGCAAAATAATATTGTTTAAAAAGGCGTATTGGAGCGTAAAATCACGTGAATCACAAATCAATGAGAGCAAATACGTATCTGAAATCACTATAGAAACTTAGTTCACGTTACCGCACACAGGAATACCATATTTCAATTGATGGCATGGCCTGTTATAAGGGAAGCTTTAACTTTGACAAATTCTACACTGACCCACCAGTATCAGCTGTGTGTCGTACAAAGTGTAATTAATTGATCGATGAAAAGGTATCACTCATTGTTCAGCGAGCTGTTGTAGTTTTAATATACGTTTATTATCAGTACAACTGTAATTAAGGCGGCAATCCAAAATAAAGCAAGCCGATGATTACATTCGGTTACCTCAATTATCTTATATTTTGGGAAGACGCGGACATGTTGCAAGGAAAGGCGAAAAAAATACACAGAAAATTTTGTTCAAATGTAGTGTTATGGTCCGTTATTGTTATGTACTGTGGTAAGAGTCCGATAAATGTATTTGTAAAAGGCAATACTACATTACAGCGGTTAGATGTTTGACTTACAAAATTCAATTCAAAACACTTAGCAACAACTCGTGAACTTTCATAACGTGAACGATATTAGCATAGTAAGTTATGTAATGCATTTTCATTCTCAGAATTTGTACACCTGTACTGTACCCGCTTGCATGTATTGCTGCGAGGTTTAATTATTGCTTTATGTTGAGCTATACGAAATATAAAAGTTAATTTCCTTGGGAATAAAACTTTAGGAGGTGCTGGTCACAATGTATCCGAGTCGTTTGACTCTTTCGAAGCGGGACGAAAAGGCGAAGCGTCTCAATGCAAAAGAGGGCAACTTGCTTCAGATGGAAGTGGAGCGATTCGAAAAACAACACAACAAAGAAATGAAGAACATACTTCTCGAGAGACAAATCGCCAAGGAAACTATGAATGACATCAGGCGGCAAAGAACGTCATCCCTGTTGGCAGCCAGGGCGGTTTTGCAAGAAAATGACGTGAGTAACAACAACAACAACACCATAAGTTCACCAACTTTAGCAGCAAAGCGCAACTCAGAAATTAAGGCAAGTTGGCCTCTCAGTTTAATTTCACATAGCTCCGAAGCTCAAGAGGACGTAGCACATATTCGTAAACCACACCTGCCTCATTTTATTCAAAGATCTCCTCACATGGAGAGAAAAATCTCGGAAGACGTAGCTGTAAATTTATCGCCTTCTACCGGGCGTAAACGTGCCCAGACGTTTTCTGGAACCACAGTTTGTGGATCTGAATGGGAAATCTCGAGTCGAAGTCCCATACGGAAATCACCAAATCTCGGGAGAAAATCCTCGGAAATTTCACATGCGGCGATAATTTGCAAGCCTGAACAACAAAGCTCGAGTGCAAGTCTCACTCTCACACCAACTCTTAGAAGAAAAATCAAGAAAGACTTTGCTACGAGTTGGTCCCCTATCATTGGAACTCGAAAGCGTGCTCAGACGATTTCAGGAAGAACGGCAATTATTCAGTCTGACGTAGAAAACATGAAAATACTAGAGTACATCCCAGTTTGCAAAGAACATCTAAGCCATTCGGATCAGGATGAAGACCTGGCAGATGGTAGATTCAGAAGTCTCAGTGATGGTTCGTCAGATTTCAAATCGAAACAAACGATTCTCAAGATGGAGAATGTTCGTAACTCGCCGTGTCTCAGCGCACGTTCGTCATCTCGTTCGCCGCTCGCAGAGAGGAGAATGGTTAGCGTGGATGATGTCGGTCGACTGTTATTAAGACCAAACTCTTTAGACGTTCCATACAAGAGTCCGACCCAACAACGTTGGAAGTTAAGTCCCTCCACTGGCATTGCCAAGTTTCGGAAGGATGGAGCTGCCACTTTTGCTGTGCAAACACTCATCTCCAACCACCATCGTGAGAAATCAATCTTGGCGGCAACAGAGAAGCTCATCACCGAACGGGAAAAGAGAGAAATGACTTGCAAAGAAGAGCAGCAGAAGAATGTCGATCCAAGAGGAAAAAACTGTCCTAAACGCACCACTGGTTTGAGACAAAGATTGTATACAATTGCCCAGCTCGTTATAGCTTTGAATGCACTTAAATTGACTGCCACACGGCGACGGCGAAGATTTTCGTTCACTAAAGAGAATCCAAAATGATAACTCAATTAATCCTTTCCATTTTGGGAGTGAAGCCGTGACAACAGCCCCGAATACTGACAGAATTCTAATTCAGGGCAAGCGTTGAAGAAAAATTAATTTATTTTTATCTAAATATTTGATTTCTCACGATCAAAATGTCATGCATACTTGAAAACAAATGCGGTATCTGCCTTAAAGGTTAGGCCAATGTCTTAGTAAGGAAAATTTTGTAAAAATGAAAATAGCTGACGTCGATCAATTCAGTTTGATCACCGTGTTCTCTACCGAGTTTTTTTGTAGATATTATGAATCGAATCGGGTTTTCGTGATTGAGAGAAATTGTTTTGATTCATTCGAGTTGTCAAGATTAAGTATCTCTTAATAATAAACAAAAAGTGCCAAGTATAGTTCACATGCTAAAAAAGCTATCTTGCTATCTGCTTGTTGGCAAGTTATCTACTTGCAACAGGAAACACAGATCATTTTGTATGATTAGTTTTTGTCAAAAAATTTATGTTGTGAATTGCTTAGTAGATGAAGTCTGAGCCCTGCATTCGGCATTTCTCTCGCAAGACATCGAGAATTAAAGCGGAATTTTTTTCCGACACAATGATTCTTGTTCGGGTTTTAATTCAACCTTACAGTTCTATCGTTAAGTTTTCTTTAACTACCCGACTAGACCAAGAAAGTGTGTTTTCACCCATTCTGTTAATGAGCTAGATATAAGGCATAGTTATGACACTTAATTTACCCAAACATCAAATTGTCTGCGTTTTCTTTAGGGTAAATTAAAAGGTCTGTATTGATACCTGTCGTTGCCATCTAAGGAATCGTGATAAGAGGATGGAAAAAACAGAAGAAATTACAGAGGCATATGCCTCTCGTTCTTTCAAGCTGACCAAGGTTCTTCCTATGTAACTGTAGACGGAAGATAGAAATATTTCTATTGCGAAATGTTTGTGACTTGCTGTATACAATTTTAGAAACACTTTCTGACACATTTACGTCTTAACAGCGCGACGAGTATTCTATGCATCATATTCGCAGTTAAGGTTGTAGTTTTTATGATCTCCACGTGCAAACGAATTCACAAGAGAATCAACTGCTCCGTTATATTGACTCTGGCATCAGACGCTCTCGCTCGTGGCATTGAAATTGGATAGTGTGGGTTCGAATCCTCATGGGAGAGAGTTGTTCGCCCAAGTATTGCAAATTTGAATTGATTAAATTAAATACGGTTCTCTATTTGAATAAATAATATTCTACATTGATAATATACTATCTAGACTGGGGATTAAATTCCAGTTTCCAGTTCATCTTTTTACGTGTTTTCTGCTTTGTCATGAACTTGCAACTGAATACTTTGGTATTAATCTGACCTCCTGGTTATTATTTTGAGGGTTAAGTAGATTGAAATACCTCCGAAAGCCTTCCGTTAGGATCATTTTGCACCTTTAATCTACTTGAGGCGACAAATAAATTTAATTTGGGAAAATGTGATATTTGTGTAATTCCTTGGTTGATTACCGATAGGGAATAATCACATTTTATATTTCCCTCTTTTTAAGAAGGTATGTTAAAAATAATTTTCATAAGTATAGACAGCTTACGCCATTTATTTTCCGTCGTTTTCAATTCATTTAACATAAAAAAAATTTCTCTTAACAAGTAGGAAAGCATGAGTTGTCAGCGCTAGCGTCGATGTCACCGTTCGAAGGTATGAAAAAGGAAAAAAAAATGTCGCATAGCAAAACAAACCTTGATTTTGCCGATTAGGGTCATCTAAAGTGACTGTTTTTTACCTCCATTTTAGCACACGAAGGCTTACATAATACCATAACCCCCTGGATCAGAAACCGGAACCCGGCATAGCGGGATTTGCGGTAATTACCAAAATATTAGTGCATTTTTGTCTTATACTTTTAAGATTTGACACACATTATCTAGGACGGTGACTAACCGATTTGTAGAGATTGTCTAGACAGCTAAGTGGATAGAAAAGTTTAACCTTAGCAACAGCTTTTTTGGATAATCGGCGCTCGAAGTGGGGGGCAGGGAAAAGGTGGAGGTGAAGGAGGATTCGGGGGTGTGGTAAATAATCTAAAGCCTTTGCATTGCGTGATTGATATGGAACATGTTCAAACGTGACGAGCATTGCGTGACGAGTGGTTATAAACTAAACAGAATTCTCGAGAAGTTCATATTCCATCGTAGGTGGTTGTACATTAAACAAATCAAACAAGGAAACCTCGACCGTTGCATGTTTCATTCTTGTGTACTGAGCCAAAGGATTGTTGCGCGGGGGTTATAAAACCATGACACATACTGAGATATATTACGATTAGGTTGCGAGATCAAAGATTACCCAGCTAAAAACTGAACATAGTTGAAATAATGAATGGGAGAGCGTTCGTTTTGACCATAATGAGTACATGTAAATCTATGATGACATACGATGGGACTACCAGAGTCTAGCATGTAGTTTTAGTTCGCTTTGAACTGTAGCCACTATAAGTGCGACGCGAGACAACTAGACAATGGACAACACTCACGGAGATCCATATCGAGTTTCATTCAAATTCTCCCAACCAGAGCAATGATTGAGACTCAAACTGGTAAAGAGAAATGCTATGTTAAAGAAGAGGGCTCTAATGTAACTCGAGACAGCGAAGGTCGCAGTATTCCTGGTGTAAATACTCTGTTACAATTGGCCGCCGATTTGGCAAGTGTGCCGGTGACAGCTGAAACTAGTGTTGTTTGGGGTAACTTCATACAAAGTTAGCAAGGTCACGTCAACGTCATTCAAAAGAAAACATAGTTGTTTTGAACATCCATCGCGCAGTTCTCGAGTCTGTAAAATGGCAAGCCGTGAAAATCTACCCGATATCCTGAACGAGTTCTTCAAAGCGATTGATGAGATGAATAACACAGTATTGGTGCCCCATCGACTCGTGGACATCCCAGAGGAGAACGAGCTTCCATCTGGAAAGTGCCAATGCCCGACATCGACTGATAATTCTTTGGTCAAGCCTGGAAAAGAGTTGGAAGATTCAGGGCTATTCGGAACTTATCACATGCTTCTAGATATCAAGGAAGAGTTGACGACCGGGAAGCCCACGTCGGCTGAGGGATGCTTCCGTTCGCACATCAAAGCCGTAATGGAAAGCATGAAATATCTTACAGGGCTCGCAAGATCCCTGACCCAGAATTATTGTAACGAGGTATACAGAGGAGGCGAAGACAACTTTTTACGGCCGAATAGTTTTTCGTTTGATACGTTGGAAGATCTACGCAAGCAGAATGGTGCAGGGCAGCAAGCCAAAGAGGCATCTCGATTAGGACATAGAGGAAGACAACGGTTTTCTTCGATGTAAGGTGTTACTATATATTGACAAATGTTACATGATCGATCGTTTAAATGGAACCTGAAATTATGGCGAAAGGAGCTCCCATTGTCTTTAGTGACAAAACATAGGACAAACCACGATGGCATAATCGTTCTTTCGCTGACTTATAATTAGACTTGTAAAGGGCTGCATTTCCACGAAATATTCAAAGATCTAGAAAAAATTTCTCAAGGTTTTGCCATGTTGGTTTGGCTTTAAATTCACCGTGCGTAGGCATAGAATATTTGGTAGCGTAACGTAATCATGTATTTACATCGGGTCTAAGACAAGTGGAGAACCTAGTCTGGGACTAAAAGTTACGTATTATTTATTCGCAAGTGCAAAGCGTGTTTGAAAATCGGAATCTAGGATACTAATGCTGCTAAAAATTCAATATTGTGTAAAAATTCCTGTTCGTGATCATCAATAAATTTCCTGCAAAACTTGTTTTGGAACTGTCGCGCTAATTGATTGACATGTGCCAGTCGATGTATCATCGATGATCTCGTGCGGGTTTCACGGGAGTTCCGTGTGACGAGAGATGCGATGCCAAGTACTCAGAAAAGGAGGAAATGTCGTCACCACGCACTCATCGCTTATCACAACTGTACAATGATGAGTCATTTTACCCTCACATGTCTATTCGGTTGTTCCTTTCTACAACGTAACGTCATCCCCACAAT